CCCGCCCCCCGGAGCTCCGCACGCTGCCCCGCCGCCGCTGCCCACCGGCCCAGCGCCCGCCGCCGCCTCCCTTCGCGTCCAGCGTCCCCTGAGCGAGGAGAAGCCGGGCAGGGATTGTCCCGCCGCCACAGCAGAGTTGCGTGGCAAACCTCCCGTCTCTGGTCGCCCCTGGGCAGAAGGAATGACCTCCCGCAGCAGCGGGCGGGGCCGTGGGGGGCTGTGGGTGCTGCAGCCTTTCACAAACGCTGAGGAGAGAAAGCGGGAGTCTCCTCAGGGCTCTGACCTGGACTCCTGTGACCTTGGGCGACCTTTGCTCATGGAAGGATTTGTTGACCTCCTCAGGTTCTGGCCATTAAGTTTAATGTCTCTTGTTTTCCCATCTGTAAAATGGAGATGGACTGTCAAGCTAATAGGGATATAGGGAGGTTTCACTAATACTTGCAAAGCACCATCCATAATGCAAAGGGGTAGGATCTGATTTGTTCATATGCTATATACTTTTTAAAATTATTTATTTTCCTTATTTTTCACAAAATGGACAAGTACAAAACAAACAAACAAGCAGCTGCTAGGGGAATTTTTTTGATCTGATTGCAACATGCTTGTGACAAACTGTTGCCTGCCCTGTTACTGTATGGAAGTAGATGTTGTTATTAATAAGCCCTACTTTGAGAAATTAATATAATATTGATTTCATTGTAACTTTTTTTTTTTTGCTATCTAGGAGTCCTGCTGACTGACCAGAACCTGTATGCTGGGCAGTGTACAAATGCAACACAAAAAGATGGTCCCGAAGTGTTTACAACCTAATGAGGAGATGGTTGGACTGCACATGAAGAGTTCACAGATGTGAATCATGCCACTTTCTCCAACACTTCTAAAAATGTCATCAGTAAAACACACCTGAAAAAAATCAGAGTATTTGAACACGTCACTTTGATTATAAGTTAAGAGAAAGATTTATTATCTGTATCTTTAGCATATTGTAAATCTGTCCTTAACAGATTTTTTAAAGTCCCTTGACAATGTGTGTTTATATACGTATTTGTCAAAAGGACTAGATTCCTTTAAAAGCATTCATCTAGCCAGTTCACTTATTAAAATCTCTTCTCTTGTATCTTTCTTGCCCACTGTTTTGTTAGGTATTTATGTAATTAAATTAAATAAAATTAAAGGGGGGAGAGGGGGAAATCGGTAAAATAAACAGGTTGTTTACCTCCTCCCTCTTCTTGTTCCCTGTTAGTTGTTGGATGTCATGGGTTTTGTGTCAAAAAATAGTGATATCTTCCATGTTTCAGGGGTGTTGGTTATAGCTGCATATAGCCACACACCATTAGTTTTGACATACCATCATGAACAGCATGTGCCCCCAGTGGCTGGGGGGCACAGCTGCGCTGGCAGAGACAGGAGTGGAGCAGTGGTGAGTGGGGAGCTCCCACTGATGCCACCAGCACTGTCGGCGGTGGGCAGGGGGTGACAAGCGCCAACCATGGGTTGGTGACCACCCGCAGGCACCACTGGCAGTATTGACAGTGGCCGGGGTGATCATGGACCAGTTGGGGGTGCACTGCCATGCACCCCCTACGCGTTGCCTCTGCATACCCTCCTTCCCTGGATGGGGATATGGAAAATCCTTGAACAATTGCAACCCATACTAGAAGAAGACCCAACTCTTAAAAAGATATTTCCAGAACCACCCATCCTAGCCTTTAAACAGACATCGGACCTCACCAACCTCATCCCCTGAAGCAAACACCTATGGCCCAAAGCACACCAAATGGATCCAGACCATGCCTAGACAAGAAATGCAAAACCTGCCAATGCATCTCCACCCATCCCGGGTCCACAGGGAGGTGACAGGAGCGTGGTGACCAGTCCTCCTGCTTCCTGCTGAGTCCTCAGTGCTGTTACTGGGTTGGACCTTCTCACAGCTTCCTGCAATAAACAGCTGTGAGAGCAAACTGGCTTGGACTCTCTCTCTCTTTCTCTCTCCATGCATGTAGAGAAAGGCAGGGGGTTCGGGTCAAATGAACGTGTCTACATGTG